CTCTACTTGATATGGCACCAGTTAAAGTGAAACGTGCTAAAATTTTGCACTTTATTGTACTCAATTTTCCACTAAATATTACTACTAACTCCATGTATAAGATTTTTCTCTAATTCTAATAATAAATGTTTACTATAATAATGAAATATTTATTTAATTTATGTCTCTTGTGAATTATATAGTTCTGAATCATAGATATTAGTAAACAAAGTCTTATAAATCTATTTCAGGATAAATAAAATTAACAAAATTCTCTCGAGACTTCTTGCTACGTGGATAAAAGCGTAAGATTGATTATCCATATTATTATATAGTAAAAAATAATGGATTCTAAAGTTTGCCATAAGTATAGATAGTTTCAGATTCTTATCTGATACAAAATACAACAATGGTTCTAGTTCAGAAAACTGAAACTCTCTTTAACGTCAATCTAAAAAGTTTGCGACAAAAGATGTTTGTTTTTACAAGTGTCTATGTAACGACGTTAACTTTGATCTCGCGTCGCCCTAAATCTGTACGCTCTACAATAATAGATATATTATATCAAATATTTTGTTGATAAACATTTTATGTGCCATGTAAACTAATATAATGTTATGAGGATTCCCCAAACATTTACTACTCCTATTTATGCCCCAAAACAATACTATTGTTATGTGTGTAAGCACGCTAATAAAAATTAATAGGAGTACGTACCTATATTGATAACGAGCATTCATCCAACATTTATGTACCTCTCGTTTGTGAACATAGGCCGTTAATTTACTAGTTAATGAAAATATATGCGATTGTAATCCTTTATGGGGTAGGCAGTGATATTTGTCGACCGATATTATTGACGTAAACGTTACAGCACACGATACGCTCACATTCTTCTGAATCGAACATAATAGGAAGTAAGCCTACTTTTATATTCGTTTATTATATTAATTTTGTTTATTAATAATGTTTTCTATCACCAGACAAATCTCTGGTGCGCCTAAAACCTCAACTTTTTTATATCAATATATTATTTCACTAGTAATACATGCAACTTCGTTCGCGTGTGCATATTATTAAATAAAATGAAGAATGAAAAAATTTATTCTGTGGAATTTCTAAACAACTAGCCTGTACTTACCGGTACGCTAATATTTGTCTCAATGTTAGGACACTTTCAGGGTAGAGATATAGAAACATAGCACCCAATCCTTATATTCGTTGCCTAATAACCCTTCATCTACACAACAAAACCTGGACTTGTGACTTTGTTCATTACAGACATGTATAGAAAATAATTACCATTTTTATTTAAATTATGGTAAATTCAGTCTAAAAATATATTATTATAACCCGTCTTACTACTTCAACGATTTTACATATTTATCTACGTATACTTAATATATAATTATATATTTGCCAAGTCAAAATATTATGTTCATATATAAGCACTACTCAATTTTTTTTATACAACTTAGAATGGCAAGCAAGCTGACGGCCCACCTGATGGAAAGTGGTAACCGTCGCCTATAGACATGAGCAGTATCATGGACATAACAGAGTATACTGTTTAGCCCATGATACCCCCCATACGTTACCATTCCTGAGGACTCAGGTGTTATTCCTCTGTACCCAGTAATTTCTCAATAGTGTAATATTACCTTTATCAATACTAAGGTGAATTTTGTGAACATCTTTTACTTATTATATACTTATAATATACGAGTATATAGATATATCATCATTGCTTTAACAAAAAAATCTAATAAACACACCCGTAAAAAGTCATAGGCAATACCTAGTCATGTATATAAATTAACATCGCAATCAATGAACTTGGTTAAATATTGACATTGTAATTGGAGTCCAGCCGTTGCGGCGTGTTTTTTTCAACTCCCCATCGTTTTTCATGAAACAAGTCAGGAATTTAAAAACACGTAAAGCGGCGGTATTTTCTGTCTAACAGAAAAAATCAAATATTTTATCTACATCTCACTTTAATATATTACCTGTAAAGTTCATTAATAAACTACAACAGTGACATACGGTCTGAAAGCTAGACAGGCATGACGAAATTATATAATTTCATTATAATCATCAACCAAGCAGACATGACAAATTATTTATAAAAAAAAGGACATTTGTAATCCTAGTTTCCGTATTACATAAAAATATTTTAAAACTTTAAGATTTACAACTAAAGCAACAAACTTTGTTAGATGCGAAGTTGAAGGAAATAGTTCAAAGGAAATTGAAGTGATAAAATAGTGTCGGTAACGTAATAAAAATTGTGTGGAACGCGATGTCATATGCCGGTGTTGACAGTGTTTGTTATGATGATGCGGCAAACAGTTCGGTCCGATCGGTCGACGACAGAGCCTTCGGCAAGCACATAGATCAATTTATTGTCGAATTGTTAGGCTCGGGCGGCGGGCGCATGGGGCGCGCGGTGGCGACGGCAGATCGATGTCGGAGGGACGAATGCGGGGTGCGCGCTCCCAACCCCCGTTGGGATGAGGCGCGGCGCCCGACTTTCGCCGAGCTATTTATAGAATTCAAGCCGCTGACCTATTTCGCTGCAGCGACGCGGAGGAAGGTCACGGATTCAGCCTGCTCTCTGTCGTCGCGGCGCCATTGTCTTTTCAACCAAGCTGCAGCACTAATTAAAGTTGTTGACACTTTGCCTCGCTCTGTGTATAAAATAGTCGCTTTACCCTTCCTACGAATTGATTATTATAATTGAAGCCAATATAACTATTGCCAGTACTTCACTATTGTTAACAAAATACACTAATAAATTTATCAAATTAAATCGAGGAAATGTAACATTGTGCATGCGAAATATTCTGTGATTTATCGTTCAAAATACTCGCATCTAAAAATAGAATTTACAAAAAGAAATATTAAAAAGAAAAAGGAAATAAAATACTTAAAAATACAAATTCCTCTTCATATCGTAATTATATTTATAAATATAAACTGTTTTTAAATTTAGAAAAGTACTAAACATAATAATAATAATTTTACAATAATAGATATTAACAAGTCGTTGTCAGAGAAATGCTTAGTAATTGTGGACATTATTTTCATGGGGTAGAATTTGGGTGAGATCGGACAAAGCACGTTTATAAAGACGGGCAGGCCGTCGCTGCCCGGCGCACATGCCTGCACGTGTCGCCTACCTGCTTAGTACGCTAATGTGACAGCCATGCCACGATACGCCACGCCACGCCACCCCTCACGCCGTACGCTATACCATGTGCTTCACAGTAAGCCGCTCTTTAAACCCTCTCCAGCTCACATGATTTATTATATTAACCATCTAATGTATCATAGTGATTGGAACCCGATGAAAGTATCATTCAACATACACCTGACAAGCTTGTTCATTTCTGTGATGTATTACTTGCTCGCCTGTTATTTTGGCACTACTTTTACGTGTCAGATATACTTTATCTCTAGGAATGTAAGCTTAAGCAATTATTACCTTTGTGCTTAGTACTTAGTATAAGAGTAGATTAATGACTTGATGAGTATATCCAGTATAGAAAACTAGACTATAAATAATAAGAAGTGAAAAAGTAACTTAGAACGGAATACAGAAAACTGTCTACGAAAACAGATGAAATTTTAGGGAGACATACAAAATATAAAGACTTACCACAGTCGTTAAAATACTAGTAGTCTAATACTACTAGGTAGTAATTTTTATTAAAAATATTAAAAAATTAGATGTGTGAATAGAATAGTTATTATTAATGTACTTATTATTAATGTACTTATTAATAATACCACTTATGTTTATTATTTTATTATGGTTATACCTGACAACACAAACTAAAACTTTCATTATTATTCTAAACTAACTGTTGCCTATGACTGTACACGCGTGATGTCGTGTTTAAACTGTGTATTGATAGTCAGAACAAATTATTTTGTAAGTATAGAAAATATTGGGCGGGTCAGGTTATAATTACAAGAGTGTCTTAACCACTCATTTACTAGCATAGGTTAAGTATATTATAACAAAGAAAATCTTATGTTGTCTAAATAAATAAATATTTTTATTATATTATACATAGATAATGGACAATTTAAAGTTTATCATAAAGAATATATTGTAAATACGTAATGGAATAAGATTACCATAATATTTAATTTGTAATTAAGTAAATATTATATTAAAAGAATATAGAATATATTATATTATATATTTCAACTTTAATTTTTTTTCTGCTCAAGCATTTCGTTCATGAAAATCTACGAAATAAGATGCGCTTTAACTTTCATAAAACACTCTGAATCCTTTGCAAAAATTTAACTTAGTTTTATTTTTTAGATAATAACTTTCACTATTATCTTTAGGTAATATGAATAGTCTTTAATTCTTAATAAAAATAAGTAATAAATATAGAATACTTCAGTTTTATGACGCTATCATCAATTTTTCTTGTAATAAATATTTTATTTTATATTTTACTTCTATTCAAAGTTTGTTTGGAAGAGTTTGTTAAGAGATAAAAAATTATGCTTGTTATACTTTTACACAATTATTTCCATTTCATAAATATTATATTAACGGTGCATAAACATGTTTTGAATAAAAAAGTTGAATAAGTTTTCCTTGTCTCTTTTCGTATGGTAAATAACTCTATATTTATATTATTATTATAATGTGATATAAAATTACATTATTTTATAATTAAAGATATTGTTCGGCATTTTATTCTAAATTAGAATTTAAAATATTAATACCTGCTTTAATAAACTACTTACCGTATAGAATACCGAGGCATACTTAGGTACTTTCATTTTTTTAAATGATCTACTATCGTGAAGCTGCTAGGCACAACTCTTTCTATCTAAAAGATGAGTAAGGACACACTAATATCGAGCTGACATGGTGGCTTGTTATAAGATTTCATTTCCAGATTTCTTCTCTTGTCTAAACCTTAAGGAAAGTTCAAGCCTTCGCCTTAAAATACAATTGGCTACTGGGTTCAAAAACTGTATCCACTTACCCTGGAATTCTTTCCTGGCGGTACTGACCGAAGTAACGATATTGGCAACATGTCCCAATACCGTCGCAAACAGTAGCAACCCAAACAGAAGCTGCGCAATCACAAACACGTACTCCCCTTTGCTCCGCGGCCGTGGTAAATCACCTGAAAAAATATTTTCTTATTGTAATTGATAATGTAAATTGCATAATGCGACGAACTTACGAGTTAATGTCTAAAGCCTGACTGCGGTTGCCAATCCGCTTGCCTAGCGTGGCAACTACTGGAAAATCCTCCCAAGAGGGAAGCTTATGTTCAGCAATAAACAGTTAAAGGCTGATATTATGATGATATATAATATAACTAGTGATCCGCCCCGGCTTCGCACGGGTGTAATGCTGATACTAAATAGCGCCGCCGGTCCCCCATTACATTACGACATTACATTAGAAACCTCTAAAATTATCAATGTTCCTCTACTATATTATGCATGCATACATATAAACCTTCCTCTTGAATCAGTCTATCTATTAAAAAAAACCGCTTCAAAATGCATTGCGTAGTTTTAAAGATTTAAGCATACTCGTACATAGGGACGGAAAGACAACGACAGCGACTTTGTTTTATACTCTGTAGTGATGATATAATGTCATAAATATAGAAGAAATAAATAGATGCTATTTTACATATTACCTAGATATGGATATAATGTGATAGGATTTTGATCAATTTATTTTTAAAGAATAAAAACAAGTGAGTGGGCTTCACCACCAATAAGTCGAGATATTTTCTTTCTGCTTTGTCTAAAATAGTCATTTCATAGTGTTGCTGTTTTTACTCGTATATATAATTTTTTTTCAATAATATTTTTAAGAGTCCTTAACGAACCTTAACGTCCTACTGGGCATGAATCTCTCCTCATTAGAGAGAATATCAGCCCACCACTACTACGTTGCCCAGTTAGGGTCTTATTTCATGTTTCTTTTCTTTTGCACTATTTTATGATGCTTTGTTCCTTTAGTCGCCTTTTACGATATCTTGGTAATATAATGTTATCTGTGTCAAGAGGATGAAAAAGAATAATAATACATTGTATTCATATTTCATCGCTACATGGAGAAAAGTATTTTTTGCAAACAGAAGTGAAAATAAATCAACCATATTTAATGGCAATAATTTCACTATATGCTTGAGTATATAGTCTATAGTCAGAAACGACATTAGCAGACCTTCCCTTCTCTCTCTATTAATGTATATATTTATAATCCTTCCTACTACTTGGAATTTACAAAACTACTCATAACGTCAGTACTTAATTAGTGTTGTTAATTTATTTCTTTTAAAATGTGTATCATTTAAAAAAGCTTATTTACAACTAAAGCATTATATGACACAAAACAATTTATTTATACATCAGCACAAGATTGATTAATTACTTTTATATCTTGCAATTGTATATGTCCCATTTATTTATACCTCGTACCAAGTTGTATAAAACTTGTAAGCGTTCATGATAATAATAGACTTCAAAAGGCCGGGGGTTCTCACTTCGTTTGTATTTTTTGTGGGTAATAAATCTTTTTATAATTGATAGGATTTACTCCTTATTTTGTTAGGAAGTTGATATTTCTGTTCACAAATTGTAACATTGATACCTTTTAAAATCTAAGACAGTGTAACAAGAAAACTTAATAAATGTTATTACTGAAAACACACTAGTCATATTACAAATATATGTTAATATTATTATATTTATTTTCTAATAATTGTAGCACTTTTTATGCAGCTTAGAATGGCAAACAAGCTTACGGCCTACCTGATGGAAAGTGGTAACCATCGCCTATAGGCATGAGCAGTACCATAGACATAACAGATAATTCAACTGTATCGCTAATGATACTCCCCATGCGTTGCCATTCCTGAGGACTTACCCTCTGTACCTTGTAAATTCATTGCCATATCCTTTAAACCGAAACACGGCCATTCAAACATAATTGCTTCTCGGTAAAAACATGAATTGGACAGAGGTACCCAAGCAAACGATTTTTGTATAAAGTCTCTCTCTGGTAGATATAGATGCATAATAGTATGTATTAAAATATAAATGTATGAGATATTTTACAAACCGACGTAAGTATCATTACTATGGATCCATTAGTCAAAAGACTACCACACAACCGCACACACTACTGAGATGCTAACGTATTACGCAACGACGGGCAAGCTTTCAGCATGAACGCGTGTGCTGCTCATATAGCCGATCATTTAATTGAACTAGGTATATTCCAGGTATATTTGGCATTATTAAATACAGAATTTCGGGACGCAGTACTGGATTCGTTGGTTTTAATCAAGTATGAATAGAATTGCCGTTAGCATTCGTACTCATTTTAAAAATCAACCAAAATAGATTTGCCGCATATGTATTGATGTTTTTTTCTGGCTGGCTTTTACGTTTTATCGATTTAATTATATTTTTATTAATAAACTATTCATTTAATGAAATTGTAACATTGGTTTACATTGTAGTATTAATTAAAAAAAATCTTCTTCCGATACATAAATATATTTCAATTGAATAAAAACATAAAAGAGTGACCCAAATTTAAATTAGACAAATAGTTATTATAAGATGAAACATGAGTGGAGACGAAAAACAAATAAATACTAAATTTCGAGCTATATGACTACAAACGTCACTGGATAATTAGGAAGGAGTGCAACATTTTTAAAATTTGCTTAATTTTTAGTGCCATTTTATAGTCTCTAATTGTATCTAGAATTTTTATAAATAAATGTATTGTACAGATAAGTGCCATGTATACTAATTGCCTAACTAATACTCTATATTGAAATCCCAGATCTCAGCTATTTGAAGTTTACTCCAAAATATCCAGACTTGAGACAGTTTTATTCTCATCAAAAGCACTTTTTAAATACTTATTTCATAAATGTTGTAATTTGTTTGTATTTAAAAATTGAGACGCAAACGATTGAAAAAATATATAATTCAGACGATGAAATACTACGGCACGAATGTTCATATCGAAATGAGCAAAAAATACATTGTCATAGGAAATGACAGACGGACAGCTATGATGAAATTATAGGGGTTCCATTTTTGTCGAAAAGCCGATGTATTTGTAAAATTTCTGTACATTCCAATTTCTGTGTTAATTATTTATTAAAAAAAAAACATTTATTAGCTCCAGCACCCAAAAATGCTTATGACGAAAAAAGGTACATTCAACAATGTTAATTTATTTAACGATCAAGCCTCTTCAACAAATTTAATGAATCTGTTTAATCCTGAATTTACATGTTTCCTTTACCTAATTTAATTTAAATTGTATTATTGACCATTAGGTGCGTTATTAAATTATTCCATCATCTTTAATTTAAAGAGTATTTATTTACCGATATTTATTTATACTTTCAGTGAACCTGAAAATATAAAATATGCTTAGTAACGTTACACTATAAAAACATTTATTAATTTAAAATCAAAGAATGCATTTAATATTTTTGTGCTTGCAACTTGGTGGTCCATTATGTCAATAGTATTTAATCGAGCCTACTTGATTGTAATGACAATTCAAATCAGGTGTTTAAGGACGAAGAGAGTTGACCCCAAATAAATGAAAAGAGACAAAGACAGACAAGATGAAGATTTTTACGCGACATCCAAATAGCATCCGCATTCGTAATTATGTTACGCTTATTCTAAACCTATTTGAACAATTCGTCAATCAATTTCGGATTTACTCCCGCATTTATTGGTTATAATTTTTCTTCCCGCACTAGTGTATTGTACTTTATCCCGTAATTTTTTTTTTAATATAGGATGCAAATGAGCATGCGGCTCATCTGATGATAAGTGACTACCGTCGCCTATGATTACCTGCAATACCGGAGGAACTGCAGAACACTATTGACACTGCAGGTTTTTAAAGAGAAATATGCTTTTTCTTGAAAATCACGAAATCATATTGGTTCCGAAATATTACTGGTGGAAGTTGATTACAAAGAGTGGTTGTGGGTGGAGCACAGTGCCTTGAAAAATACAAGGTGGAAGACCGCTTTTCATCCAGATGGTTAGTATGGAACTTTAGTTTGTTACGAGTTACACAATGGTGAAATGCAATAGCGAGTTCAATCCCTCAGAATACTCGCCATGATGCATTCAATAAAAAATGCATAGAGATGTAACACCTCTATGCAGTTTCATTGGGTTGAGCCCGAATTATGCGGAATGTTTTCAATTTGTTGGGAAAATTCACATTTGCATTAATTAATAGCTACTAAAATTAAATTATGAATATTTATTTTATTGAGTATTGTGTTATTGTTTACAAATATATACATATATAAACAATAAATTACACAATCAGTATACACCAATCTCTACAAGTAGCACCCGTTCATGACGTGATGTAGTATGATGGATGAGCTAGTCATCATTGCGTTCAACTACATTTTAGAGAACCATATAACTCAGCACACCATGCCTTCAGCAATTCGTATGTAGTTTATTAAAGGAGCATGATTTGCTTTAAATAACTTGACTACGTTACAAATGATCTATTATTATAAACACACCTATAAATTATCTTTGACTGATTTCCAAACAAAAGATGTTCTCAAATCGTCTGGTTTTTTTACGCGACTACATTGCCAATTGCAAACCGATTTTCGTCATTCATTTGTAATCAATAAGTTTCACTCGAGTATTGAGTCCATAAAACAACTGTAGTTGTTTCTCTTTATCGAAAGCTTGTTAAGAAGCAAAATCTATCTACTTCCTTGTAAATTCCGTGTTTTAAATTCGTTAATTTTGCAATATAATGTATTTACGATAAAACATGCCATTAATTAATATTTATAATTAAAGTCGAAATTATTATAACGAAACTGACTAACAAACTTGTTATTATATTAATAATTAGTAAATGAATAAAATATAATACATGTTACATGAATTAATAAATTGTATGATTGCACGTTCTGGTAATTAAACTGTTACAGAGAACTGTATAGAAACACAGAATTAAATTCAAATGTTTTCATCAATAACTCAATACCATTAAAATGCAAATTATATACAGATAATCCTTGATAAATTATAATTACATCACTTACATATATAATGTAATATTATAAATCTA